GGAAGTAGGAAAACAGGAAGTAGGACCGGCAAAATTGAAAAAAAAACCTAAACAAAACCCAGCCTGCCTCATCTTCTTTACAGTTCCCTCACTGGATTATTATTTATTATTTTGGTTTGTTATTTTTATTTGTGTTGATATCCTCTCATCTTTGTTTAAGCAAAGTCAAAGGAGGAAAACATGAAGTAGGAAAACAGGAAGTAGGAAAAACAGGAAGTAGGAAAACAGGAAGTAGGACCGGCAAAATTGAAAAAAAACCTAAACAAAACCCAGCCTGCCTCATCTTCTTTACAGTTCCCTCACTGGATTATTTATTATTTTGGTTTGTTATTTTTATTTGTGTTGATTTCCTCTCATCTTTGTTTAAGCAAAGTCAAAGGAGGAAAACATGAAGTAGGAAAACAGGAAGTAGGAAAGCATAAAGTAGGAAAAACAGGAAGTAGGAAAACAGGAAGTAGGACCGGCAAAATTGAGCTGATTCATTTCGAAATGTCTGTGAACATACATAACATTGGTGTAAACTGTAGTCAACATTAGGCTAATAAAACCTAAACAAAACCAAGCCTGCCTCATCTTCTTTAAAGACCCCTCACTGGATTATTATTCTGGTTTCTTATTTCTTATTTTCCTCTCATCTTTGTTTAAGCAAAGTCAAAGGAGGAAAACAGGAAGTAGGAAAAACAGGAAGTAGGAAAACAGGAAGTAGGAAAACAGGAAGTAGGACTGGCAAAATTGAAAAAAAACCTAAACAAAACCCAGCGTGCCTCATCTTCTTTACACTTCCCTCACTGGATTATTCTTTATTATTTTGGTTTGTTATTTTTATTTGTGTTGATTTCCTTTCATCTTTGTTTATCTTCCGTTGTTCCTCATCTCGTCCTAACCCTGTTCGGCTCTCATCGCGTTTCGTTTTCCCTTTTTTGCCATGAGTTTGTTGTAACCCGCTGAACCCAAACCAGATGCAAGCAGGCGGAGGGCGAGCGCGCGCTGGCCCTGGAGGCCAACCGGCTTTTCAAGCAGGAGTTCGGAGACAAGATCGAGAGTCTGCAGACGGAGGTGGAGATGCTGAGAAACCACAGGTAT